TTCAGAATGCCGAGAAATCTATCTCAGCCATTTACCCCTCTGCTTTTATTGTATTCCTTTCTATTTGTCCTTGTTACTCTCTCACGGATACGCCGAAGTACCCTTATAGTTGGGGAACGATAATGGATCGCGCTGTTGGAATTGCCAAAATGATGTATGTTGCCCAGATGGAACGAATTTGTCACCTTCCAATCCATTGCCCATTCGGCCCAATCATATATGTTGGCGCCTATATAGAGGGTATCTCACCGAAAGTGCACACCTCGTTTATTTCCGGTACTATTGAAGATACGAGAAAAAGTTTTAGATAAAAGTTGTATGGGGTCGATTTTTCATCCAAATGATTTTTTTATATTCATTTGATTTCAAGATACAGCACGCCACATGTTTTTTTTTTTTTTTTTTAATAGAACATTTTCCATTGGTATAGAAAAATGTAGCTCGTCGTTTTCTTAACAGTTTAAGATCTTGCAGACTAAAATCCAGCCATTTCCAGGTTATTGAGAAATGAATATATTATATTTAAAAATCTTTCTCGAAATAAGTAGTGTGGCAACTTTGCCCACTAAACCACTAGCCCAATTTGCAAATATTATTTCGATTAAGAATTATAGTCGTTATTGGTTATTGTGTTAAATAAGTAGGACTGATCCAGAATACTAAAACATATATTTTATGATCACTTGTATTACAAAAGAACTGCGTAGCAATCTGACTGTCAAGAATCGCTCACAATCGTTTACCGCGTGAGTTCCCGCCTGGGGGAGGGCTGTTGTGACGTGGTGGATTTCACCCGTCTTGTCCTCGGCGGAAAATCACGCCGAAACGCGATACGGGCCGAAAGGCCATTGCAAAGTCCAGGCAGGATCCACCGACCGCAAGGGCCTAATTGAAAGTTCGATAGATTATTTTATTATTTTCTTTTGTCTTGCGTGTACTCTGCCGGAGTTCGAATAGGTGCTCGCTCGCCGTGCTCGTGAAGACGCGGAGAACGAGAGAGATGGAGCCAGCTGGAGTCCCTGGAGGAAGGGAGCTGCGACACGCGAGGGTCGACACTCGCGCTATTAAGTACGCGAGTGCACAAAGTGCCGGTGGGCTGTCGATCGAGTTTTCTGGGGTTACGCGACCAGGGAACCACACGGTAAGCGAGGATATCTAACCTTTGTGAGCGACGTAACTTCGTGCAAATCTTGGTACCGGATTTTGTGTGTTTTCGTAAGTTTTGACCGCGCGGGTAACGGACACGCGGAGGGAAGATCCCTCACCCTCGAATTAGACCAAGGCACGAAGGTCCGTCGACCGGCAGGGTTCACAGTTTGGTATTTTGTTTG